AAAAAAAAAAAAAGGTATTCTCATCCTCTTTTCCCTTCTAAAGTGAATATCCTGGAATATCCTGACCTTGGAAGCATTTCAGACAAATTCAGCTCATCTAAGATAGTTTAGTTTGTCTCAGTTCCCCCAAAACAATTGCCATTAGAGACAGGATTAAAAAGGCACCTTAGGAGGTCCTTCCAGTGTCAAAGGAGTGAATTGATCAGAGGTTGAAGAGGGCTCCAAAGGTGGGAGGTGAAGTCAGTGCCTTAGTGCTGGTCTGTATATGTTTTGTGCCCAGCTGTTTTATAATCCACAAAAAGAGAAGAAATATTGCAGTGAATGAAGATTCCTCTTCATTTTAGCATTTCTTTTTCTACTGTAGTTGGTTTTTGAATGAGGATGACAATGGAAGAGATGAAGAATGAAACTGAGACCACTTCTATGGTTTCTATGCACCTCTATACAGTCATGTATCCTGTATTCAATGAGCTAGAAATAGTAAATTTTTCTGCAGCTCAGACACTGAGAGCTGCTTTCATTAAGGCTGAAAAAGAAAATCCAGGTCTCACACAAGATATCATTATGAAAATTTTAGAGAGAAAAAGTGTAGACGTTAATTTCACAGAGTCCCTTCTTCGAATGGCAGCTGACGATATAGARGAGTATATGACTGAGCGACCAGAGTAGAATTCCAGGATCTAAATGAAAAGGCACGAGCACTTAAACAGATTCTCAGTAAGATCCCAGATGAGATCAATGACAGAGTGAGGTTTCTGCAGACAATCAAGGATATAGCAATAAAAGAACTTCTTAATACAGTGAATAATGTCTTCAAGAAATATCAATACCAAAACAGCAGGGCACTTGAACCAAAAAGAAAGAATTTGTAAAGTACTCCAAAAGTTTCAGCGATACTCTGAAAACATATTTTAAAGATGGCAAGGCAATAATTATGTTCATAAGTGCCAACCGACTAATTCATCAAACCAACTTGATACTTCAGACCTTCAAAACTGTGGCCTGAAAGTTGAATATGGTGAGAGATGTTCTTCTCAGTGGCAGTGTTAAACTGCCTTAATCTGTAAATTTTAAAGTTTGTATAAATTATCAGTCCCTCCTGAAGGGATCTAATCCAGGATGTTGAATGGGATTATTGCCATTTTACACCATATTTTTATAAAACGTAGTTTAATCATAATCTCACACTGAAGATTTTGCATCACTTTTCCTATTATCATTCTTTAAAGAATTATAAGCCAAAAGAATTTATGCCTCAATGTGTCATTATATAACATTCCTTAAAAGAATTGTAAATAGTGGTGTTTGTTTCTGACATTTTAACTTGAAAGTGATATGCTGCAAGATAATGTATTTAACAATATTTGGTGGCAAATATTCAATAAATAGTTTGCATCTGTCTTTTTTTTTTTTTTTAAAAGAAGGCACCTTAGTCTTTTATTGGCTAATAGAAAGGATGGCCTCTCTTTCCCATATCAAGTATGACTGCTCAGCCACTCCTTATTGGCTACATGCCAAGTTGGGCATGTAGTCCCTTAGGTGTACTATTCAGAGATCAACCTAATTTGTAGAAATTGTTCACTGAAGCCCAGGAATAAACTCCTGGCTATTTTCAGACAAAGATAGAGGTAGGAGTCTGTAAAAATGAGCTAGGAAGGAGCTTAAAATACTTCACATTCCAGAAACACCCTCCTTTCCCCCCAGGAGATGGCTTTATTCCCAATCATTTCTCAGCAGAGTTGACTCAAAAGGAGCAGAAACTTGGAGCCAGGCAACTGGTACTAGCTGTGTGGGCTTAGACAAATGGTTTAAATATCTGAGCTTCAGTTTGCTTATCTGTGAAATGGGGCTGACACCATTCGATCACTAGTTATTTTAAGGATTAAGATATGCAAACAACTGGCATCAGTGCCTGTCCCCAAGGGTCTCCGCCATTTTATTGAATGCCCATGAATTCTGTGGAGGTCTAGTAAAGGGAGAAAAGTCTTACAAATTAGTAGTCTCTTGATAAAAGGCCTTGAGCTGGGATATAACTCAGTGGTAAATGCTCACTTTGAATGTGCAAAATGCAAAGCCCTGAATTCAATCCCCATTTAAAAAAAAAAAAAAAAAAGGAAGATAAATGGCCTTAAAAAAGGAGGATAGGGCTGGGAGTGTAATTCAGTGGTAGCATGCTCTGGGTTCAATCTCTAGCACTGAAAATAATAATAATAATAATAATAACAAATTGGGAGTTTTAAGAAAAGTTTTCCACTATTCCAAGTCTATTTTTATAAAACATCCCCTTCAATTCTCAGTTTGTGAGTAGGGGTAGTGTGGGGTCAAGTGGAAAGTTGACCTGATAAGAGACTGAGCAGCTTGGGATCCAGATTTGACTATGATACTTGAAGCAGAAAACTCCCTGAGTATGAGAGTTCCATATGGCAGATATTGCTTACTTACCAGGTTGTGGTGAGGGGTACCTTATAAATATGAGGAATGAGAGTAGCTTCTTGACCCTAGGAGTTAAGGTAAGCAATACCAACCTGAGCCCCAGCTATAAGGTGGGATTAGTAGAGGCCAAGAGGCCTCTCATCTTAATGCTGGTGACCTTTCCAAACAGAAAATTTTTTGTTTTGTTTTGATTTTCAGTCCCAGAGGGGGCCTCTTTGGAGCAAAACTATCCAAACCCTGCAACAACTGCTACATAGTAGCTGGTCATAGAACATTTGCTCTACTTCATCCCAATAGGTGGCAGGCGCAATGACCCCAAAGACAGTTCCAGCAAGTAGTTTAAAGTGATAGAATTCCATGTTTACTTCCTCCATACACCCTATGCTGACCAAGCAAGCTGATAATTATTATGTAGTGGTTGAGACCTCTGGCTCTGGAGATAGGCAGAGCTGCATTTAAACCCCAACATGCTCACTTAGTATAACTGTGTGACCTTGGTTAGTTTTGTTTACTCCCAGGACCTCAGTTTGCTCATCTTTAGTCCTGGCAACTCTTGGTGGGGCTTAATGTGAAAGAGTGAGCAGAATACTTAGACATAGGCAGTGCCCCATAAGGAAAAGTCAGTGATCATTTCTCCCATGTAGAATTCACAGCAAGTTTATGAAAATATGGGCAAGAAAGAAAGCCTTCATTTTCCTGTCATTCATAGAGGAAGAAAAAAGTCATGTCGCAATGAAAATTCTCAGAGTTACTGAAAAGATCTCATCAAAAGTTCATCACACCTCTAAACAAAAATAGTCCCATCCAAGCATCTTGGAAGGTTGAGGCAGGAGAATTACAAATTTGAGGCTAGCTTGGGCAATTTAGGGAGATCCTGTCTCAAAATAAAAGGGACCTGAGCTAGCCAGGTGCAGAGGCGCATGCCTGTAATCAGAGCAGATTGGGAGGCTGAAGCAGGAGTATGGCAAGTTTAAAGCCAACCTCAGCAACTTAGCAAGGCCCTCAGCAACTTAATGAGAACCTGTTTCAAAATAAAAAAAATATAAAAAGCTGAGGATGTAGCTCAGTGGTTAAGTGTCCCACCCCTGAGTTCAATCCCCAGTACCAAAAACAAACAAAAAAAGGGCCTCAGGGGTGGGGTTGTGGCTCAGTGGTACAACACTGGCCTAGCACCACATATAAATAGATAAATAAAATAAAGGTCCATCAACAACAAAAAATATATATATATTAAAAAGGCGGGGGCTAAGTAAGATATATCTCAATGGTAAAGCACGGCCTATCATATGCAAGGGCCTGTGTTCAATCCCCCATACTGGAAAAAAGTAAAAACATAAAGAATATAAGGCTTTATAGTTCAGAAAACAGTTGGAAGTCTACTTCATTTGAAATCTACAACCACTATGTGAAAATAGCATTTATTCCCATTTCAAAGATAAAGAAACTAAGCATTCAGAAAGGCGAAGCTAAGAGGCCACAGCAGTGTGGTGCTGGGATTTCAAGCCTACTTTACAAATTCAGCACTCTTTACAATTCACAAGAGAATTTTGTTTTCACCAAGTACTGAGCCTACATTGTTTAGACATGTCTGAAATGGCATTTTAGGAACCCAGAGTGGAATGACCAGGTTAGCAACATGATTGGAGAAATGCAGCCATCTGGATCACTTGTGGCTACCCTGAAATAGCTTTTCTTGATTCAGGAGGACTGGCATTGCATAAGCTGCCACAACTCTGACATATTTGAGAAATCTTTTATTAGAAGATGTCCCAGAAGGCAACAGTTTAAAATCAGGCAATCAGTAATCACAACTAAATACAAAATTGCAGGTAAACTTGCCTTTCAAAATAAAATCAGACCCTTGCAACAGAATTTCCCAGGAGGGTTTTTTTTCCTTGTACAAAAACAGTTAACACCACTTTGCAAAATGCATACAAAAATACAGTATAAAAAAAAAAAAAAAAAGACTCACCCCAGCATAATACCCAGCAGCAGCTTATAAAACACAAGCCATCAAGGTGAGACATTAGTAACCTACTCCCCTCCCCACCTGTCCTCCTAAGACAATTCCAGAAGTCAGCTGGCTCCTGAAAATCCTGCTCCAGAAGGTAGAGTGGCTAGTTCCAAAACTTCCATGGGATTCTGAGGCCAGGAAGCAAACTCAGAAAGAAACCATTGTGGACAGTGGATTTGGAAATAGCAGCTGGTTTTACAGAGCCTCAAACTGTGCTTTCCTTCCCCCCTCCCCAATTCCAAACCCAGAGCCAGAAGGCACCTGCTGTCCTGGGCAGCAGAGAGGCTGATCCTTCTTCCAGGACAGGCTTAGGGGTTCCTGTGCTTGCCCACATGACATTTGCTGGGTTGGGTGACTTTCCCAGATTGGAGGCTGTACCTGGATTCCACTTAGAGCTAGAGAGTCCAGCTGGGGCAAAATCCATTATGGTTGGTTAAACAGAGCTCCTGCAGGAGCTTTTAAGACCCACCAAGAAATAAGTCCACCTTCTGGAGCACTGGATGAGTCCTAATGGCTCTCAGAACCTCAGTAAGGCCCAGATTCTGGGAAAAGGATCTGACTCATGTCAGACTATCAGGGAACCAGGTTGGTGGTTATAGAGCCAGCAAGCTCCTTGGAGTTGCATGAGAAGGACAGGTTTGCACAGTTCCAGTAGAACTTCAAACGGAGTCAAGGATTGAGATGAGAGGCAGGTAGGTAGAAAGAGGAAGAGTTACAGAGTGCTTCCTTCTGAGGTGCCTTATATCTGCCTTGAGAAAAGATCCCATGATGGGCCTCATTATGCCCCTTGTAAAACACCTGGGCAGGGAACAAGTTCATGAGCCAGGACTCCAAGCCTTTCCCAGGCCCCAAGCCAGGATCCATTTTCCTGTTTCTTGGAGGAAATATTTCTGACCTGTGGGAAAGGGCACTGTAGAGCCTATTGCATAACAAAGGCAGAATGAGTCAAAAAAGTCCTTTAAGTAAGGACAGAAAGGTCCCTCCTTCAGAGAGGGCCCAAAGGGCTCTAAGACAAAGAATCTGAGGCCAAGCTCTTTAAATGTTCTCAAGATCGCAGCATTCAGAGTGGGTAGAGAGGTGTCGCCTAACATAATATATACTAAAGATTTGCACTCCTTAGGTACTGTAAAGTGTCTGACAGTGAGGTAATGGTCCATGTTGTTCAAGTCTGTGAGCTTGCCTTCACCCAAGACAGCTCCTGTGTCTCCTGGAAAAAGGAGCCTCAGGGAGAGCATCCAGGCCCAGCTGTCCTTGCATCACCCCCAGAGACACCAGCGGGAGCATCCTTTCCTAGCCTAAAGCTCCTGCAGAGTGTGAGATTTCATGCAGGCTGGACCCCCCCACCCCCAACATCCACCACCTGTTGCATAGCATCTGTCAGCCTTTTCTTCAGAGCTACTGAGCTAGGCAGACCCCAAGGCTCCTCAGTCAGCTGCCTGCTGAGAAGCCAAAGGCGCCAGAGAGGACACAGCACTCCCATGAGTCAGGAAAGAGGGAGAGCTGTTTCAAAGTTTCCAAGAATGCAAGCCCTTATTGTGTGTGCACTGGCTGCAATGCATTCTGGGATCTACTGTTCAGACTGTCCCACCGTAACCAAAATGTGCAAATTACTAAAGGGGAAAGGGAGGTTAAAAAATACACTGTCTTTGTAAGACAGAAGAGTCAGGCTTTTTGGTCAGTTAGTAGCCACTGAGGTACGCAATTCTTTTCTGCAGTTGCTGCTGCCGGCACCGGAGCTGCCTTTTCTCTGTAGCCATCCTCTTCTCAGCGCCCACCAGGGCTTGCAAGTATTCCAAGGCCTTGCTCAGGATCACTACTTTGGGGGCCTTAGAGCAGCTGGCCAGGGTGGGTACCTGGTCCCTCAGGGCTAAGAACCGAGAGCGGAGGTCATTCCGTCTTTTGCGCTCCAAGAAATTATGGTTCTTCCTCTTGGTCACATCCTCAGTATCAGAACTGACAGGTTTGGGATGGCAGGACTGGGGAGTCTCACTTTCCAAGGGTGGGGGGCTCACAATCTCTTCATCCTCCTCATCCTCCTTCTCTTCAGGGGCTTCTCTCTCCAGAGTTTCTTCTTGGGGACCCCTCTCTGGAACCTCTTCTTGGGAGCAACTTTCTGGAGGAAAACGGGCAGCATAGTTGTGCTGTTGCTGATGGATGGAGATGTGGAAGTGTTTCATGCAGGGATCCAAAGGATCTGCTCTCACCGTGATGGTGACTGGCTTCCGTATACCCAGAGACTGTCTCTTCTCCACTGTCACAACATCAATTTCTTCACTCTCTGTCCAAGAGGAGAGATCAAGAAAAGAAATACATCCCATGAGAAACATACGTAGCTCCTACAGCTTTAGCTCTCTATGCTGGGACTTAGGAATGATAGATGACATTTTCCCAATTTAGATATCCAGAAATTGAAGTGAGGAGAAAGACAGCTGATTCATGGGGGTAAGGGCAGAGTGAAGGAAAGGAGGGGAAATAAGCAAGAAGAAAAATATTCTCCAATTTCCTTTTGCAAAGCAAGGCTTAGATAAGAACAAAAGGCAGACCCAAGCCAAAAGCCCCCAGTCTGTAAAGGCTCTCCCCTCCCCCACTGAGGGGATAGAGAGAAAGAGCTACCGGCCTGGGACAAAGTTTAGCTATAAAGATCTTCCCCAGTCGGGCTCTTTCATGCCCCATCAGAATTGTAAATGAGGGGTCTGTGGGCAGAGCTGCCCTTTGTTCCTGCCCAGCACAGCCTGCACTTGGGAATTGTTACTTTTCACAAGTTATAAATCCTATTATTCCCCCACCTCTCTATTCTGCCATCTTTTCAGTTGAAGATTCAGAGAGGGAGAGCAACAACTATCCCTCCTCACCCACAGAGGGGAGGGAAAGGTTTTCCCTTAGGACTATTTTGCTCCTGGGTTCAATGGGTTTCTAAGTCATCCATCATTAATAGGTCCCCTACCCCACCCCCTTTTCTGGTCCAGAAGAGAGTTGGAATCATAATCACAGGTCGGGAAAAGCTGCAGGAACTTCACAAAGGTATCGACCATTTCCAAGCAACCTGCATCAGAGGGAGAGAATGAGCAGCAGCAGAATGACCCAGATACCCTGACAAAATACCAGGTATCTGGAGACACCTAATGTATCCTTATCCTTCCCTGGCTAGAAGGTCTGTTAGATTAACCCAACCAAGGGAGAGACAATTGGGGGGAAACCCTTCTGCTCTCCACATTTTGCAGACCCCACACAGAAGGCCACCTTAATGCATTCCCATCCGACAACAGAAGAGCTCCGTTCTCAGCCTCTTTTGCATATCAGGAAGCTTGAGCCCCTTTGTCAGGAAGGCTTCCATTGTGTGGACAATCGCATTATTTCTCCATTAATAAAACCTGACCATTCAGCCTTCCTGGCCCCAAAGCCTGTGATTGGCTGGCTAGGCTGTGTTTGGAATGCTGTTTTACCCAGCCCCTAACTCCTATTGGCTGAGCTCTGCCGTCAATCACACTCCCCGCCCCCCCCATTGTTTGCAATCTGTTGCATTTTGTTCTAGGCCATGTGGCCTGAGAGTGAACCAGGAGCCCACAAACAGGTTCGGGTTAAAGGGCAGGTCAGAAAATGATTTAGGAGGTTTCCCTACATCCCAAACCTTCAATTTCAAACCTCATGGCTGGGATGCCTCTATCTAAAAAAGAAAAAAAAATGTAATACACAATCCTCTTTTTCAGAGAGTAGCATCTATTCTACCCAGTAAAAGCCCTCAGTAGGACAATCAAGTACAAGTACAACCCCCTCATTGCAAAAAGAGAAACTGAGGTCTGGATCACGAAGTTCACATATCACCTTTGTAATGTTCTGGATCTCAAAATTAGCCCTCTAAAACAATGCTCTTTCCACTTTACCACTCCACCAGTCTTTGTAGAGATACATCTTTATTGATCTCAAGATTCTCATTCCAGACATTAAATAAACACAACCTCTTGGGTGTAACAAGAAAGCAGGTTAAAAATGACCTTAATGCAGGTTAAAAATGACCTTTTTTTTKGGGGGGGTGACTTTTAATTTTTCTTGTTATCTTCATTTTCTTCCTTAAGGGTATGACAATTTCCATGCCCTCTTCCCTAATTCCCTCTCAAATGTTCACATAAAAGTTATTCTTAAAAGCTACAGTGAGTTTTCTCTGTCCTGATTTATGTAGGTATGCAGGCTAGCCTCAATCTACACCCTACAAAAGCGTCTTTCCACTATTTCTCATAGATACAAGTGTCTAAGAGGTTGGGATAAGAATCTGGTGGCATAGGATGCTCCGGTYTGCCCTCATCAAAGTTTGCACTTGCATCAAGGATGGGGGAGGAATGAGTGGAGCTTTAGGGCCATGATCCCAGTACAAAGCCCAGAGGGTTGGCACAAAGTAGGACCAGTGAACATTTACTGAATGCAAGAGAGTAGTTGAAGCCCACAGATACACTGAAAAGGAACTAGAATACCTTTCTATCTTAGACCAAAGCATCAGGCACAGTGTAGACCTTCTCAGATAAGTGATCATCTAATCATCAAGGAAGTGGTGCCTGACTGGGATGGAGGGTTAGGAAAAGAAGTTGGCTGGATGGCAGGAAGCTGGGCCTCATTTCTAGTAATTTCCTATCTCCCAGCCTCATTTTTTCCATCCCTTAACAGGGAACCTTCATTTCTCCCCTGTCTCACGGGGTGATGATGAAAATGCACAAGTGGTAAGGAGTGGGAGGTGCAGGGGGAGGGCATTATTGGCATTTTAACGTAAAGCAGGCAGGAGATCTAGGTTTTTAACAGAATGAAGGCTTTGCTTTGTACAAAAAACTCCTCAGTTTCTTCTCTCCCAAGGGGAGTGTGAGTTTCCCAAGAATATCGGGGGAAACAAACAAACAAAAAAAAAGCGTCAAGCTTGGAGTGACTCTAAAAGGACCCCTTCCAACCTCCCAAGGACAGAAATCCCCTACAGTCCAACCCGAGTATTGTCCTCTCTAAGCGCCAACCCTCACCATGTCACCCCTTGTCCCCCGGGGCTCCAATCATCATCGGAGGGACGCTGGCTCCCTCCCCACTTCTCCAAACTGTTTACCAACACACCCACGTGCCAGACAGACACTGCTAGGGGCTATACAGGGAGCTTCAGGCAGAAAAGGGGGAGGCCACGGAGAAGGATTGAGAAAAGCCAGTGCCTGACCTTAGTGGTAGAGCTTTGGTCACCTATGGGGCGCCCCCCTCTTAGATGGCCCCGGGCGGTCCTTACCCGAGTCGCTTGGGCTCTCGGACCCAGAGCAGGCCTGAGTCTTGGGTTCGCCCAGCTGACAGGGGGTGGCGGGCGCCGGGTTGCCGGCTTCAAGGCTGGGAGTGCAGTCCGGGGTGGCGGGCGCCTTGGGTGGGTTCCCCCGGGGCGCGCCGGGGGTGAGCCGGTCGCTCACCGCTCTCTCCAGCCTTTCCCGGGCAGAGAAGCCGCTCCACATGCAGTCACGGCGGATGATGGAAGCGTAGTTCCTTCCCCAAGCTTTAGAGTGACCCCGAGATTCCGCCTCGTCCCCAGCGCCCCCTCCGGGCCACGGATCCGGGGGGCCAATCCCAGGGGCTGGGTCGCCGTCGCCGGGACCAGAGCCCCAGGGCGGCGACGTGGGGGGCGACGGCACCAGCTCGAATTTCTTCCAGATGTCCTCGCTGGGAGCCGTGGAGCGGTAGAAATCCTCCCCGCAGTCATAGTCGTAGAAATAGTGCTGGTACGAGTCGAAGTCCATGTCCGCTCCCTGTGGGAGGGAAGGGGGGGGGCGTGCTGACTGAGGTGCCGGCGGAGGAAAGAGGCAACCCGGGTCCCTCCGCACAAGCAGCTGCGGGGCTCTCGTCCTTTCCCAACCCACCGAATTACAGCCCGCCCGCGCCCTGCCCTTGCGTCCCGGGAAGCCTGGCCCTGGGTMGGAGTACCAAGAGAAGACGATCACAACGCCGCGGACCAGGCTACAGGGAGCGAGTTCAAAGCAAACTTTGCCAGCGCCGCCCGGAGCGCAGCTCCCAGGGCCCGGCCAGGTCGGGCGGGGGCGCGCTGTGTCCAGAAGACAGTCTGCAGCCTGCCCGTTCCCCCAGGATCCGCGCCCGTGCCGGGGCCACCCGCAGCCTCACCTCGCTCCCGCCACCCGCCACCTGGAGCGGACCGGCTCCCCGCCGGCTCGGGGCAGCCCGGCAGCCCGCACACACACACATGCGCGCCACCGAGCGCGCGGCCCGCACTCACGAGCGCGCCCCGCGCGCGCGTTCCCCGCCTCGCCTGCGCACGGCGGCTCGGACGCTCCCGGGATCGGCGCGGGAGCGCGAGCTGCAGGCGCATTGTTTCCCGGCTGCCTTATATCTCGTCGCGCGCTCCGGGCTCCGGGACTGGGAGGTGGGTCCTAAGGGACAAGCTCCGCCCCCGATCCGCCCCTCTCCCGCCAGTCGACAGGTGGGGACATCCCCACCTCCTGGCTGCACTCCCTGGCTCTATTCTACGCCTTGTAGCCTCCAAATAAATTGCACGCTGGGGAGAGCAGAGCTGGAGGCGAGGTGATGCAGCCCCGGGGTCGCCTGGTAGAGCAGCGAATCCTTAGACGCTCACGGATCCCGGCTGGCCGAATAAGCSGCTCCCGGCCTCTTTGGGCTGGGAATAAGGCTACTCTTCGCCTTGACCCCACTAGCCTCTTCCCCCAGGCGTACCCCGCTGGGTTCAGGTGCGTCCTACCAGCGGAATGGCTGAGGGGAAAGGGAGGGTTGGGGGAGCAAAGGCAACTGCACTTCCACCGCGCCACCTGGCGGCATGCATACCCGAATTGGGCTTGTTCTGGCGTCTGCTTCTTCACCCGTTAACTCATTTCTTTAGCTTGGTGGCCCAAACCCAAACGGCAGTGAAGGGAAGTAGTGGGGATTCTGGGCTTTGGAATCTGCAACGTAATCATCTTCTTCTTCTTCTCCTCCTCCTCCTTCTTCTCCTCCTCCTCCTTCTTCTTCTTCTCCTCCTCCTCCTCCTCCTTCTTTCTTCTTCTTCTTCTTCTTCTCCTCCTCCTCCTCCTCCTCCTCCTCCTCCTCCTCCTCCTCCTCCCCCCTTTTTTTTGTACCAGGGATTGAACCCAGTGACGCCTAACCACTGAGCCACATCCTCAGACCTTTTTATATTTTAGTTAGAGACAGGATCTCACTAAATTGCCTAGGCCTCGCTAAATTGCTGAGGCTGGTCATGAATTTGCGATCCTCCTGCCTTCTCAGGCTCCCAAGCCACTGGGATTACAGGCATGAGCCACCGCGTCAGGCTGCAACGTAACCTAGGTTATGATTTCACCTGTAAAATGAGGGGATGGTAACACCTCACAGGGTACTTAGGAAGGTTTAAGAAGATACAATACCTAAGGAAGGGGACTGCACCAGGAGGGAGGCTAGCAGCACTGGCTTAACCCCCTCATCCCCTGCGACATTTTTCCTTCAGAGAAAGGTCAGGGCTTACACCCCTCCCCTTCCCTCAAAAACAAAACAAAATAAGCAAACAAAAAACACTACATTGAACCTTTTCTAGTAGAAAAAATAGAATTAGAAAACAGAATGAGGCAGGAGGATTGTAAGTTTAAAGCCAGCATCAGCAATTTAGCGAGGCCCTAATCAATTTAGCAAGACCCTATCTCAAAGTAAAAAATATGAAGAACTGAAAATGTGGTTCAATGTTTAAGTGCCCTGAGTTCAATCCCCGGTGCAACGGGGTTGGTGCTATCTGGAAGTCCAGAAACTTCCTTCAAATCCTTGCTTAGCCWCTTGCTGTTTAAAGCTTTGCCCCTATTTTTGGCCAAGATGATGAACATATAATTCCTTTGTGTGATGGACATGTAATTCCTTAGTGTTTGCCATCTTGGTACCCTATGTCTTGAGATTTAAGCCAATAAATCTAAGGATAGTAGCCAATACATATAGAATCCTCTACCTGGCACTAATGTGGTTGTGTGCCTTTCTTTGCCTGCTTGCATGCTCTCCCTCCCTTTCCTTCCCACTCTGTGGTTTAATAACACCAAACTACTCACATTGGCATGCCAGCAGGCTGGAGAAGAGGACCTTGAGGTGTGAGCTGATGTATGAGTTGGGAAGAGAAGGCAGGGCAGATTATACCCTCTGTTTGGAGTTCTTGGGTACTAAGGTGCATGTGGAACATCCTAAAGATAGGAATCCTAACTTGCTCTGTAATCTCTGCACCTAGAAGGGTTTCTTGCAGATATTTATGAACTGACTTACTGAATTACCGAGCCAATCAGATTTTATTGAAACAGCTTATATGCCCTGCTCTGTGCTGAACTGGAAAGCCCAGAAAATGGTGTGTGTGTGTGTGTGTGTGTGTGTGTGTGAGAGAGAGAGAGAGAGAGAGAGAGAGAGAGAGAGAGAGAGAGAGAAGATGGACACAATACCTTTATTTTATTTATTCTTTATGTGATGCTGAGTATTGAACCCAGTGCCTCACATGTGCTAGGCAAGCACTCTACCAGTAAGCTACAACCCCAGCTCCCGGAAAATGTTCTTAAATTTGGTTACAGCCTCAAGGAAGAAGGATTGGATTGTCTTTTGGTGACTTGCTTTCTGGTTCAGAGTCAGAGGTGTCTGAAATGGGTTTGATATCAGTAAAAGTTCTTGGTTACAAAAGAGAGAAACCAACCTTACCTACATTTAAGCAGAAAACTGCTTTATTGAGAGAATTTGTGGTATAGAATTCATGGGAGGCTTGGAATCTATGCTTGAAGAATGGATATTCTTTACACTGGAGCCCCTACTCAGCAACCCTTCTTCATTCTCGTAGATGATATCTAGAGGCAATGAGGACAGGGATAAACGTCAGTCTTGTTCACTATCATAATCCCAGAGTTTAGAACAGAACCTAGTATATCATGCATGGGTGTTTAGTAAATGTGTTGCCTATTTGACTGAACACAAACTTGTAACGCTTTAGCATAGAGATGTGCCAGTTTGTCTGGTGGAGACAATAACTCTCTGGCCCGGTCTAGACAATAGCTTGATTAAAGGTATTAATGTAGTGCCAGGCACAGTGGCATTCGACTATAATCCTAGCTACTCAAGGGGCTAAGGAGACTTGAGCCCAGGAGTTGGAGGCTAGCCTGAGCAATATAGTTCACTCCATCTCAAAAAAAAAAGTATTAATATCACTAAAGAAAGTGCCAGTCAGGAGGGAGTGGGTAGCCAAGGAAGCCAGAGATCAGGGAGAGTTGCCAAGGTAATCATCCACAGTTTCCATCATAGCACTCTCTGGGGACAAAAATGCTGGTCTAGGAAGAGGGGAGATGGAGGCATCATTCTTTGAAGCCACCCAGTTCATCCCCCACTTCACTCATGCTCTGGATCACCAAGCAACCCTTCTGATAAACCATTCTGTTCCCCATGTAGATCCGCCCACAGGGAGTGAATGCACTCAGCAGTGAACAGGAAGATCCAGTCTGCTTCAAAGCCCTGYTTCCCCTTATAAATTAATGAATTGGCATCTTATTTGAAATATCAGTCTCATGAGCCTGGTTAATGTGTGTCTGTTCCATAGAGATGCTGCTGCTTTTAGGACTAACAACTGTGGTTTCTGAGCTGATGTCTGGACCCAGAATGGTGATAAATTCACCACAGTAACAAATGCTACCCTAGGGATATCCAATTTAGTTGCAATATTTAAAATTTCCTTTATTTTTCTTAAAACTTTTTTTTGTCCATAGAGGCATTTTATTTGTATTATCTATTAAATCCCTGGAAACAGAATCCCAGGATTTTCCATCCTGTATATTTTTGTGTTGTTTCTTTGTGGTCTGTATGCCAGCTGACGTTGTCAGTATAATGAAACCAAACTGACAGGAGGGAGCAGATTTTTCTGCCATTTTTCAAGACCTTTGCACATCAAATCTGGGGATGGTCTCTCCACACTTGTTTAGCCTGCCTGTGAGGCTCACAACAATTTTTCCAGCTCCACAGTCATCAATAATTTCAAATCAGCAATGTATCTTTTCTTTTGCATCATATTCAGAAATTGGAAAATGACTTGGGAGCACAGTCTAATATCATCCTGGCATTTTCCTGGCACAATGGTGCACACCTATAATCCTAGCCACTTGGGAGGCTGAGGCAGGAGGATCGAAAATTTGAGGCCAACCTGGGCAATTTGTCAAGATCCTGTCTCAATATAAAAAATAAAAAGTTTCAGGAATATAGCTCAGTGATAGAGTGCCCCTGGGTTTAATTCCTAAGGCAAACAAAACAAAAAACATCCAAACCCTGGCATTTGCCTCTTTTCTTCAGCATTTTTTTTTTTTTTTGGTATGGGGGATTGAACTCAGGGATACCTGACCCCTGAGCCACATCCCCATCCCTGTTTTGTATTTTATTTACAAACAGGGTCTCACTGAGTTGCTTAGCACCTCACCATTGCTGAGGCCAGCTTTGAATTTGCGATTCTCCTGTCTCAACCTCTGGATCTGCTGGAATTACAGGTGTGCGCCACCTCGCCAGGATTTTTCTCAACATTTTCAATGTTATTGAGAACATTATCTAGGATATTCATGTGCACATGTGCACCATTAGGTAGCATAGAAAGATGACAGAAAAGAAAGAGCTAAAACGTATCTTTAATATATTTTTTTTTCCGGTGCTGGGGATTGAACTCAGAGTCTCATGCATGCTAGGCAAGCTATCTACCACAAAGCTACATCCCCAGGCCCCTAAAACATATTTTTAATCACAATAATACACATGCATAGTTTTTAAAAATATCAACTAAACATATGACAACATTAAAAAAAAAACAGTCTTGGGCTGGAACTGTAGCTCAGTGGTAGAGTACTTGCCTAGCTAGTGTAAGGCACTGGGTTCGATCCTCAGTACCACATAAAAATAAATAAATAAATAAAATAAAGGTATTGAGACCCTGTCTCTAAATAAGAAATAAAAAAGGTCTGGGTGGTTAAGCACCTCTGGGTTCAATCCCTAGTACCAAAAGAAAAAACAAGTATAAGTAAGGAAATGTAGTATACTTGTAAACTACAATTAAAATATATATATATATTAAAAACAACAACTCAGTCTTCTGCCTTTTCCACTTCTGATTCCTGCTCCCAAAAGCTGTTTTGTTATTTTTTCCTAACACTTTCCATATTTTGAGCAACACAGATAATCTTTTATTTTTTTTCCTGGTTTTAAAATTTCTATTGATATCCTACAATAAAAGAAGATAGCTCTTATACTTCCCTTCTCTCCCTCTATACTTGGTCTTCTCTTATTCTTCCAGTAGAATTATAATTCAATTTTTCTTTTCTTTTTTTGGTACTAGGGATTGAAC